CGATAAGTCAGGGCCAAGCCAGCTCCGATCAGCCAGAACCCTGTTACCATGGTTCCGAATAGGTAGATATAATGTAAACAGAATTGGTCCTAGCACTGAACCCTGTGGAACTCCATAATTGACCTTAGTGTGTGAAGAGGACTCTCTATTTACATGTACAAATTGAACTCTATTAGATAGATACGATACAAACAACTGCAGCGCAGTACCTGTAATACCTACAGCATGCTCTAATCGCTCTAATAGGATATTATGGTTGACAGTATCGAACGCTGCACTGAGGTCTAGCAGGACAAGCACAGAGATGAGTCCACTGTCAAAGGCCATAGGAAGATCATTTGTAACCTTCACTAAAGCTGTTTCTGTGCTGTGATGGCTCTGAAACTCTTCCAATAAGCCATTCCTCTGCAGATGATCTGTTAGCTGTTTGACAACTACTCTTTCAAAGGATTTTTGATATGAAAGGAAGGTTGGAGATTGACCTATAATTAACTAAGACTGCTGGGTCTGGAGATGGCTTTTTAAGTAAAGGTTTAACTACAGCCAGCTTGAAGGCCTGTGGTACATAGCCGATTATTAGAGATAGGTTGATCATATTTAAGATTGACGCATTAATTAATGGCAGGACTTCTTTGAGCAGTTTTGTAGGAATGGGGTCTAAAAGACCTCCAAACCATCAAGTAATTATTGAAGTTAACTCAGAAAGATCAACTGGAGAAAAAGAGTCTAAATGAATATCAATGGTACTGAAAGTAGCTATAGATAATGTTACATCTGTGGGATGATTATTTCTCTAATGATATAAATTTTATTTGTGAATAAGTTCATGGAGTCATTACTAGTTAGTGTTAAAGGGATGGTTGGCTCAAAACAGCTCTGACTTTTTGTCAGCCTGGCTAGCGTGCTGAAGAGAAACCCAGGAATGTTCTTATTTTCTTCTATCAGTGACAAATAGTAAGATGTTCTGGTTTTGCGAAGGGCTTTCTTATAAAGCAACAAACTATTTCTCCAGGCTAAATGATGATCCTCTAAATTTGTGACACACCATTTCCTCTCCAGCTTACGAGTTACGAGTTACGAGGCTACATGTTTGAGAATTATACCACGGAGTCAGGTACTTCTGATTTCAGGCCTTAATTTTCACAGGAGCTACAGTATCCAGAGTCGTACGTAGTGAGGAGGTAAAATTATTAACAAGATAATCGACCTCTGTTGGGGTAGTGTTCAGATAGCTGCTCTGCTCTATGTTGGTACAGGGAATTGAAGATGATAACAGTGGGGGGATTATATTCTTAAACTTAGTTACAGCGCTTTCAGAAAGACATCTACTGTGATAAAGTCTACTCTCCACTGCTGTGTAATCAATTATTGTAAATGTTATGAGGAAATGATCAGACAGGGGAGGGTTTTCAGGAGACACTGTTAAATGTTCAGTTTCTATGCCATATGTTAAAACAAGATCTAGAGTGTGATTAAAGTGGTGGGTGGGTTCTTTTACATTTTGAGAGAAA